CGCTGACTGCACCACGCGGTTTTCACCACGTACATCGTGCACCGCATACAGTACACAAACATTTGTTGCACTGTCCGCACGCAATCTATTGCGCCACGTAGAATTTACCACACTTATTGTGTCGCATGTGTTGGGTCGCAAGTACTGCACCGTACATTGTACACTATAGAATGCACATCCGATCGTACAAGACAGATATTGCACCACACAACGTGTTCCACGTAGATGACACAACATGGACGGGTAAAAGCTCAGTTGTTTGAGGTCCGCCTTGGCTAAGATATGGGTAAAACCCATCTTGCGACACCAGCCCTGACCTGTACGTTGTCGCGTGCCCGGAAGTCCTCCGCTGTGATTTCGTAACGACGCCAAGGGGGGTCACCCTCCTCGTCGGCCTCACCCTCGCGGCCGCCCCACCACCAGGCCTGCCGCAGTGCACGCAGATGAGGCAGAACCCATGGGGGGAGGACCGCCGCCGCCTTCCCCGACGCGCGTCGTTGGTAAAGCCCCCCCCATTTTCTGGCAGCCGCCGTTCCACAGAGGAAAGAGCGAATGACGACGACCACGAGGACCACGTCGACGACGACGCCGACGACGACGACGACGACGACGACGACGACGACGACATGACTGGCCCCATGGACGAGATCACGACGGAAGGTGTTCGGCAATTCCCAGCCTCCCTTGGGACTCCGCGAGGCCCCGAGGCCGTCAAGGACCCGCTCGGCATGAGACGCCGGTCCCTAGGCACGAGGCCTGGACCTCCAGGCAGCCGCGCGGTGTGAAGACAGCGATGCGTCGGATGTCCGGGGTGCCCCTGGCAATTCCCACGCAGCGGCGCCGCGGATCGTGACGTTACCGGGGGGAAATTAGTGGTCGGGTGTCGAGTAATGATCAGGGGCGACGAGAAGGGGGGAATATGCATAGGGGGGGAATGCATCGACCCCCAATTGCTCATTGATCGCCGATAGGGTCCCGATAGCCCCAACCTTCACAGGAAGGTGCGGGTTAACTATCGGGGGCCTATCGCCGATCTATCGGCGATGTATCGCCGATTCCAGGTCGATGCATCCCCCCCTTCGCCAGTCTCCCCCTATCGTTGCTCCCCAAATGAGGGTACGATATATGGAGGGATGAAGAAAGGCGCACCTCTTGTGCCCGAAAGGGGCTTTGAGGGGCCCACTGGGGCTCAAAGGGGCACGAAAGGTGCACGTTTCCCCCCCCCACCCCCCCTCCCCGTGGATCGCCCCCTGCTCATTGACGCCCGAAATGCTGTGCCAGTACCTGCCAGTGGGCTCCCCAGCGCACCCCGCTCTCGCTCCCAGGGGGGCGCTCTCACGCTGCGCCATGCCCCCCCCCCCACCCCTCGCGAGGAGGAGGAGGAGGAGGAAAATTGGAGGGGTCCGGTAACGGGCGTCACCGTACACAGAAGAAAGGCGGACTGCAGAGCGTCGGCTTCCCTTTTGGCTCAGCCGCGGACCTGCTTGCAGGTCTGTGGGGAGTGCATTCGCTCGGGTTGGACGAAAGGGCTTTGTCCAGGAGCCCAAAAGCACGAGCCCACCATCTTTCCCTCGACCTCCGTCGGCCAGATTTGTTAGAGCCGCCCTCCCCTGTTGTGTTCATGTGCCTCTTTCCTTTTTTTTTGTTTGCCGCCGCCGCCGCCGGACTACGCGTGATGGTCGCTTGACCCTTCACAGCCGTAGCGGCTGTACTTAGGTGGGAAAAAGGAGCGCAGCCTCGGCCAGCCGATTCCAATCACTACTAATACCTAGCTATACGCCGCCGTTTAACGGACTTATGCCTAGGCCACGTCGACTCCGTTGGTCCAGCCTACAGAGGAGATTTACCCTGTGACGTTAATAGGAGAAGAGAAAATACCAACCCTTATGTCAGAGTCTTCGGATCCTCTGGCACAGAACAAGTTATCAGCCGAAGCCTCTCCCTGAGCCGACTGTTGTTTTTTTCTGACCGTGGCGCGCCCAACGCAGGGGTTGGGTGGCACACATCCCCGGGCCATTCGTTCGGCTTGGCTGCAGGCGGACGCGGAAGGCGCCAGACGCGCGCAGTGGAGGTGCAGCGATCAAGAGACTGACGCCGCCCTGCGTGTGCGCCGCGAGGGGGCTGCACCATGCGAAGCGCATGCCAGTCAGCACCGCCAGCGTGCGCACTCTGAAGCCCGCGGGGTAGGATGTTCATGCACTATCCTGGCTGACAGTGGCATTGAATCGCGGGGACGTGTGAGGTGTTGGCATGTGCGGGTCCGTTTTTCACGAAGTGCGCAGCCTTTCAGGCGCACGCGCCCCCAGGCAAGAGACACCCCATCGAAATGGGCGCGCGCGGCATGTGGGCGGTGGGCGCACGAGAGGGAGCGTGCGAAATACACATCACTGACACCATAGTTAACAGTTCTGATGTTAACTCTCTCACTCACAAGCCATGCTCCGTCAGGTGCTTGGGCATGAAAACAAGGTCAAGCAATCAGGGACAGCAGTGGGACAGACGCTGCGCCGGCTGAATTGATCAAGTAGTGGAGGAGAGGAGGAGGAGGAGGAGGAGGAGGAGGAGGGGGGGCCAAACCACATGTTGGGACAGGGGCGTCTGCGAAATCTCCCGCGTGCAGCTCGTCTCGGCCGCGCCGCCGAGCACCTTCCTCGACGCAGGGTCGCCCTTGGCGCCAGGAGGCGCTGGGAGAACCACTTGCGCAGGCCGACTGGCTGCCGCCCTGCTGTTATCCCCCGAAATCCGATGTTGTAATAGTTCCATTCTTAGGGGAGCGAGCAATGACATATACATAAAAACTCAGAGGTCCGCGCGGATTTCTCGGATCGGCGCTGGGGCCCATTGGGGGCGCCTCTGGCGCCGCTCTTGGCGCGCTCCGCGCGCCAGGCAGTGGGTCGAGTGCCGATCCGAGAAATCCGCGCGGACCTCCGAGTTTCTATGCTTATGTCATTGCTCGTTCCCCTAATTGTTTATTATCCACAAGGGCTTCGCCTCCATGCCGCCGACATGCCCGACCTAACTCTGGTGCCACATGACTAACGGAAGAACACCTTGTCGATTGCGCCAGCATTCGCTGCCTGCGTACCGTCGCGCGTCAGCGCCCTCGTTTCCAATGTGACGTGACACGCTGGCGGCCCGCGTGACCCGTCGCGCAAGGTCGCCATGCCATCCCGCGTAAGACCCGTTTCTTTTCGTCGCTCACATGGGCAGTGCGCGCGGTATTGTCGCGAGTTCTGGTTGCCACTCAAGTGTCCCATGGTCGGTGCCCTCGAATGCGATGCACCATTGTTTTGGGGTTCGGGCTTGCTATCATTGCGCTGTCATGTTGGAATAAGCACCACAGCCACAGAGTTCTTGAACTGAGGCGGATCAAAGTCGAGACGTAGGGAGGACGAGAATTGTGGTGGAGGAGCATTGCGAGTATCTGATGGCATTCGGCCCCTCCCGCCTCCGTGCTTGGGCTGTGGGTCAGAGTCATCGGGGGTGTTTCTTGGGCTCTCTTCGGACGTTCTCTTGGGCCTTTGGGGGGCAGCTTGGGGCCTCTCGGGTCTCTTGGGGGCCTCTTCTCGGGGGCCTCTTGGAGCCTCTTTGGGGCCTCTTGGGGGCCTCGGAGCCGTCTTTAGGGACTTTTGGGCCGTCTCGGGCGCCTCTTGGGCCGTCTTGGGGCCCTCTTGGGCCGTTGAGAGGCCGTCTTAGAGGCCTCTTGGGCCGTGTTGGGGCGGTCTTGCCTTTTTGGGCAGCCTCATGGGGGCCTCTTGGAGCGTCGTGGAGGCTTCTTGGGCCGTATGTGGGCCATCTGGAGCGTCTTCGAGCGATCTGTAGGGGGCCTCTTGGGACTCTCTTGGCCCGTCCTGGGGTCTTCTTGGGCCCACCAAGTGATGCGGGAAGACGCGGGAAGCTCTCGACACGACGCTGGAAGTAATCGAGAACAAAAGAGACCCCCCCTACTAACACGATGAAAACGTGGCCTCACTTCGGCCCACATCTTCGCATTAGGGATCATAGATTTGGGCGGTTTGGTCTGATACATCTGCAGGACAGACCCTTTTATTCCTAATGCTTTCGGCCGCCCTGACTTGGGTCCCCTCCCAAAGGGTTAGGGGTCTTGTTCTGGTGAACTCAGGAAGCCCCGCCAAATTTAAGACCCTTTTAGAACCCTTCGGATCGAGGATTGAGGCTTAGAGGATTTAGGAAAAGACCTGAGAACACGCCCGCTCCGTGGCCAGAGGCACGGCGGCGGATAAGGAGGGCAAGAATGGACAAGAGACGCAAGGATGCTTGCCAGAGGCTTGTACCAGGGGGGCGGATGAAGAGGCATGCGTTGCTATTGCCACAGCCACGGTGGCGGAGTTCTGGCGATCTCGAGCATTACGCCTCTCATAAGCTCATAAGCACTGGTGCTGACATGTCCCGTGCCCCTCACGAAGTGTGTTGTGCTTCCTACGGCCACGTCCTGTCGTGCCGACGCGGCTGTGACCTCAGCGCGGTCGTATACAGTTGAGCGCCAACGTTTGCGTTTGCCGTCGATTGATGCCGATCGCTTTGCGCTATCGGGAAGCCACGAGCGTTCTAGGTTGAACGATCTACGTTGTGTCAGAAACCAACGCCCGCGTCGTCGCGACGTGAACCTGCCGTGGGAACCACGGTGTTCATAAACAATGCGTCGTCCCCAGTAGAAACGCTCCTGTTGCACGGGTTGCCATGGCCACACTGAGCGTAGTGTTCATGATGAGTGTGGCGCCGAGGACGGAAAATTGGCATGGGCGCGAACTGCCCACAGGGAAGGGGTGCCGTCCAAGGGGGGAGAGGCGGCCGCGTTCCGGCGGTGAGGGCCCCCTGAGGCCGAAGACGGCCAACAAAAAGACGACGACGACGACGACGATGACGACTCACACGGAAAAGCGTCTCATACACGCCCAAGGGTCGGCGGATTTTTTTTGGCGCGAGGATGTCTGGGAGGGTGGCTTTTGGCTAGAGGCTCAAGGCGCACCCAGCCATAGCCACGCGGGCGAAGCCGGGCGTGGCCACGAGGCGCTGGAGTATCGAGGCCCCGAGCACGGTCAGAGTGGCCAAAGACTTCGGCCGTGATGCTTCCAAGACTTCAGATGTCCTGTCGTTCGGGCAGCGCCCTCGGCGAGGGGCAGCCCCGAGGCGGGGAAACCTCCGAGAAGCTCCCTCGAAATATCAAGAAACGGCATACACAGTAGCTTTTTGAGGTCCGCGCGGGTTTCTTGGATCGGCGCTGAATTCCCCTCCTTGGCGCGCGGAGCGCGCCAGGGGCGGCGGCAGAATCCGCGCGGAGCTTCACATTTTGCTTATGCCTTTTTTGGTCTTCGAGAAAGAGCTTCTGGGAGGTTTTCGCTCTCTACTCTCCCTTGCCCAGTCCCCGCCCACGCCCACGCCCTGTTTTCGAGGCCCCCTCTTTCGGCCGACCCGAGCGAGAGGAGCAGGCGGCAGCTCAGACCTCCGTGGGCCCCGCGGTCTGCCTGCCGCACCCCCGCCTTGGTTGTCTCGAGGCGCTGGGCGCCTGGGCTCGGAGGTCGAGACTCGAGCCCCGGACCTCCTCCTGGGCTCCGAGGCGGATCCGGCCGTGGCGACGAAGAGCCTCCCAGAGCATCAGAGCATCCCAAGACTTCTGATGCTCCAGCCTACGGTAGCCCTGATCACCAGGAGGGAGTTCGAGCACCAGGAATTTACCAGAACTGGAGGGTTTTCACGTGTCTCGCCTTGGGAGGCGACACTCGTTCGACACCGTTTCGATACTTCTCTGGGGGCTCGACATCATTTCTGGGATGTGTCCTGTTTAAGTACGATGGGAGCAGCATAACCCAAGACCTCCGTCCTTACCTGTTCGAGACTTCGGATGTCTCTCCTCCTCGTCCTCCTCCTGCTCCTCCTCGGGTCTGAGCTCTCCCCCCAGGACAAGTTCATGGACTCCTGCATGGCGCAGCTCGGCGTGGTGCGCACGCGCCTCCGCTGGTGCTGGCGCGGGCCACTGGGGCTTGCCCCCCCTTCCCCCCGTTGTACGAGGAGGAGGAGGAGGAGGAGGAGGAGGAGGAGCACGATGCGTTCTCTCCATGAGGCGTTTAGGCATTCAGGAGGAGGAAGAGACGGAGGAGGAGGAGGAGGAGGAGGAGGAGGATGCACCCAGATATCCATCGTCTTCGGAAGCTTTCGCTGGTCTGTGGGTGAGGATGGAGGAGGAGGAGGAGGAGAAGGAGGAGGAGTAGGAAGAGAAGGAGGAGGAGGAGGAAGAGGAGGAGGAGGAGGAGGAGGAGGAGGAGGAGGTGGAGTAGGGCGAGGACAAACAGGACGAGAAGGAGGAGGAGGAGGAGGGAGAGTTGGGTACTTCGGTGTTCCTTTTGATGCCTCGTATGGGGTCTCATGGGAGACTCTTGGAGGCCTCTTGGGGCCGCCGTCTCTCTTGGGGCCCTCTTGGGGCGCTCATGGGAGCTTCAGGGGCGCTCTCGGGGCCATCTTGGAGGACATCGAGCAAGACAGGGGAGCTCCAATTAGCCCCTCCCTCGGGAGCACCGAAGATCGCATCCTGGACTCCTCTTGGAGCGCTCTTGGGGCGCTCTTGGGCGCTCTTGGGGCCGTCTTGGGGCTCTCTTGGGCCTCTCCCAGGGCTCTCTTGGGTCATCTTGGAGCCATCTTGAGGCCTCTGATGGCCATTGGAAGCGAAAAGGCGAGATAGCAAAAATCAGTCATTTTCTTTATGTAGTTGAAGGATCTTGGCTTCTTTGGGGCCTCCTTGGAGCTCTCGTAGGCCTCTTGGAGCCTCGTAGGTCTCTTGGAACATCTTGGTAGCCATCTCGAGGCATCGTGCTCTATCGTGCTCTATCTTGAGCCATCTTGGAGCTCATCTCGGACTCTCAGGGGCCCTCTTGGAGCCGTCTTGGGCCATCTTGGACGCGCCAACGCCTCTTCCCCCCCCACCGTCCAGGTCCAGCGGAGGGGGTAGGGGGAGGGTTCAAGACACCATCCAGATAGCAAGCCGCCTTGCCCACTCCCACCCTCACTCGCAACACATTCGTAATACCCGAGCCCCAGAATGCCCTTTGGCCGTCTTTGGATGGACAGCTACTGGGAACCAAAACCGAGCCCATGTGCAAAACGCTGGGGCGAGGTGCGCCACGCGTGAAAGGCGCACCATGCGCGCCAGGCACCCCTGTGGCCAGAGCGTGCCAGGCACGCCTGGTGCGCCAGATGCGCCACGTGCCTCCGCGTGCGCCAGGTGTGCCGGATACCTCAATCGCGCCAGGAGTGCCACGTTCGGGGCACGTGCAGGGTGTGTCGGGTGCGCCTGCGCATGTGACAGCTCACATCGGGAAACATGTCAGCCCCCACCATCCTGGTCGAAAACCAATGACCATCATTGTGTATGGTGGGCCCGCACACAGCAGGCCATACGCCACCACCCCCGCCATCCCTGTCAAAAACCATTCGGCAATGATCGCGGGGTGGCCGCGCATGATCTAGATTTAGCCGCGAGGTGCATTTTGGATTGTGTTCTGCCAGGGATGGTAGCAGCAGCGCGCGCAGCAGGCAATATGCTGACACTCGCCGTCCCTGCCAACAACAACAATACAAAGTGGTCGCGGGCCTCACGAACACGACTCTAGATTTGGGAGCGAGGGCTGCAGAAAAACAGTCTTTAGGGCTCCTAAAGGGGCCCTTTAGGGCCTAAGAGGGGGCCTTAGGGTCCGACAAGGGCACCTTTCCCCCCCCCCCCTCCCCCTTATCGCCTTATTACGCGACGCCCACGATGCGTGGGGCCCTGGACGTCTTGACCCCCCCCCCAGGGCCTTGCCTTTCCATGCCGAGTGGATGTTTGACGACCATTTGAGGCCCGACGCCAGCCTCGGGAGGCCCCAGAATGGCGACGAGACCGCAGTCTCGATCTCTTCGAGGCGCCGGAAGTCCCTGGGAGCTCTGGTTCAAGGGTGCGCAGAGGGGTTGATATCCCGTGGTGGGGTTTGGGGGGCGAAACCAGCTGGCCCTCTTCCAGGGACCGTTTACAGCAATTCTTTGTCAACCCCATCTCACAGGGATCCAGAGTGCATCCCGGGCTCTGGTTCAGCCGCCGTCCTTCAGTAGGGCCGTACTTCTGGACGTCTGTCGGCACCTCGCCTCGCCGCCCCTGCCCCGCCCCCCCCGACTGGCGGAGGAACCAATACCGCCTGCTCAGCGAGACGGCCTGCGGGGAGCACCCCGCCCCCTGCGGCTCGGCGGACGTGGCGTTCCACCCGCGCCTCCGCTCGCCCCGGGGTGCCATCGGAGGGTCGCGCCGCCCGCCGCCGGGCAAGAAGCCGGGGCCCTGCACCGTCCAACCTCACGGAGGACGAGGAGCGGGCTAGGAGGAGGGCTTCCTCCTCCCTCTCCTCCTCCTCCTCCTCCTCCTCCTCCTCCTCCTCCTCCTCCTCCTCCTCCCCCTCCTCCCCCTCCTCCTCCTCCTCCTCCTCCTCCTGTTCCTGTTCCTGTTCCTGTTCCTGTTCCTGTTCCTGTTCCTGTTCCTGTTCCTCCTCCTCCTCCTCCTCCTCCTCCTTTCCTGTCCCTGTTCCTGTTCCTCCTCCTCCTCCTTCTGTTCCTGTTCCTCGTCTCCTCCTTATGTTCTTGTTTTTCCTCCTCCTCCTCCTCCTCCTCCTCCTCCTCCTCCTCCTCCTCCCCCTCCTCCCCCTCCCTCTCCCCCTCCTCTTCCTTGTCCTTCTCCTCCTTCTCCTCCTCCTCCTCCTCATCCCCCTCTTTCCTCCTCTTCCTCTTGAGAGAGGCGCACTGGCTTCTTCGCGCCGTGGCAGGAACACAGCGGACGCCCGTTCGCCGCGATCGCCCTTCGGGGTCCTCTGCGGGGTCCTCTGCGGGGCCCTCGGGGCCCGTCAAAAAAGGGCACAGGATGAAATACTGGTCCTCTACAGTGGAGGCCCATGCCAAGGAACACCCTGCTTGCCTCCAGGGTGCCCTGGGTTTCTTGGGCTTCGATGGTTTTGCTGTGGAGCGCGCGACGTTCCCACACCAAAAATCGATGGACGTCCTGGGGTCTCAGGGTTGGGTTTCGTGTGGAAGGTTTCTTGTGGTCGGGTCCCCACTGCAGTCCTCCTGGGTGGTGTCCGAAAGGGGGGGGGCGGAGGACCACGCCGCGTCGCCAACACATCGCCAATGCAGCTCGATGTAGAGCTAGAGTTCCTCCACGCCGACGGTGCCAATGCATCGTCGACGTCGAAGGTGCATCGCCGATACACCGGCGATGCGGCGCGATCCTATACGACGCTATCTACTCGGACCCCGTCCATGAGGCCTCCAGGCCTGCGTGGCGGAGCCCAGACCTCTTTGGGGCCAGGCCGTGCACAACATCACGACGTCGGATGCTTCTCGTTTGGGAAGGAGTGGGTACAGTCAGGACAGGACAGGGGCGCGCCGAGTCCGCCGGCCGGTCGGCCTGTGGGCCCACTGGGGGCAGCGCGGGTGGGCTGGGGCCCGGTTACTGCACTTGCTGGACGAAGGCGCGTGTCCCAACGGAGTCGGAGCCGGAGTCGGAGAGGTGGGAAGGGACCAAGAGTCGGAAAGAATACGAGAGTCGGAGTCGGAACATGCAGCAGACCTTCAGCCATTCCTGCCAACACAAGTGGTCAGGATCGTGGCGTTCTGGGCTCATGGGGGGCTCCGGTTTTCAGGAAGCTCGCTAGATTTGGGTCGGAGAGCCTCCTCGCTGCCGAGGCCCGCCGTGGCCAGAAGACCCCTCTTGACTCTCAGTCGGTGTTCAAACCAAATATAGATAAGGGGGCAGGAGAGAGGGAAGGCCCTTCGTCGTGGGTCGTGCATGACTCGAGGTGGTCTGGGGGGCGCGAGGCCGGCGGAGGTGGCCGGGCGGGCAGGCGGCAGAGGGCGGCAGCGCCGCGTGGGCCCCGCGGGGCCCACGCGACGCTGCCGCCCTCTGCCCCGCGGGGCCCACGCGGTGGCTCTCGTGCGGCCCCGCGTGGGCCCCGCGGGGCCGCACGAGAGCCACCGCAGCGCAGGCGCACGAGAGCCAGAGGGGGGGCGGGAGCGCCGCGAGCGGCGGGCGTCCAGTCGCAGGTGGATGCGTTTGGGAGACTCCGTGAGGAGATGTTGCCGAGGCCGGGGGCTGGGATCGGGCCGGGCGAAAAGGGGGGATTGGGAAAGGGGGGGTTACGAAATCGCCTGCATGCAGCTGGTTTCGGCCCAACCGAGGGGCCCGTTCCTCGATACGTAGCCGCCTCCGGCGCCGGGAGGCGCCCCGGGAAAATCAGCTACGTGAGCTGATTCCCCAAACCCCCCCTTTGCTATCCCCCCCTTTCGCCCGGCCCGAGATTGGAAGACTCGGTGAGGAGATGTTGCCGAGGCCGGGGGCTGGGAGAGTGGCAGCCTCCTGCTGGGGACGTAGATCGGTGGTCGAGTCTAGCGGCAGACGTTCTGTCCTGTTCGGTGAGGTCGCACTTCGGTTCCTGAGGGTTCTTTCGCGCAGGGTCCTGCCCCGGGCGGGCCACCTTGGCAGGACTCCGCTTCCGCTGGAGCCCAGGGCCAGGCGGACGCGGGTCCCTCCGGGTGTCCTTCTGGCCCACTGGTCCCCCTCCTCCTGCTCCTCCTGCTCCTCCTCCTCCTCCTCCTCCTCCTCCTCCTCCTCCTCCTCTGTCTTCTCCTCCTCTGTCTTCTCCTGCTCCTTCTCCGCCTCCCCCTCCTCCTTCTCCGCCTCCCCTTCTCCTCCTCCTCCGTCTCCTCCTCCTCCTCCTCCTCCTCCTCCTCCTCCTCGTCCTCGTCCTCGTCCCCCTGTCTCCGCGGACGATATCCTCAACAAGATGCAGCGGTGAGCGGCAGTGGGAGGCCGAGAGAGCGCTGAACGAGGACGGACTGGTGCCATCAAGCGCGTCGGAGAGCGGCCCTTTCATGGGCTGTACAGCTCAGCAGCGCTGCCCCGCAAGCCTTTGTGGGGAGCGGAGTGGGAGGGGGCGGGGAGGGCGCAGTAGCAGCCATTAGCTTTTGAGTAGCATTCGGAACACGTGGCAGCGGGGCCCCAGGCTTCAGAATATTGGCTTGCCCAGCGCCCCTACGGTCTTGACCGCGAGCTCGCTCATGGTCATGATCTTGTTCTGGTGAGCAGCGTGCCTGAGAGAGGTAGGGGGATGGATCACGGTCGCGGTCGTCAAGGGCGGGGGAGAGGGCGGGGTACTCAGTAGTGTGCATCGGTGCCTGTGAGTCCTGGCCTCCTGGGCGGCGCTCGTAGCGGCGCTATGGGGGCGTTTAGCATAGCGCGGGTGGTTTTGCTAACAGGGTGGCCGCCATGAATCAACAAGCGCTAGTCGTCACCTCCTTTTCCTCTTCCTCTTCCTCCTCCCCCTCCTCCTCCTCCCCCTCCTCGTCCTTTTCGGCCTCCTCCTCCTCCTCCTGCCCCTGCCCCTGCCCCTCCCTCTCCTCATCCCTCTGCTTCTCCCTGTCCTCCCCCCACTCCTCCTTCCCATCCCTCCCTTTTTTTCCTCCTGCTCCCACGGCCCCCGGGGGGCCTGAGGCCCAAAGGACCCCCGGGGCTCTCGGAGGCCCCGTGCGCACGCAGCCGCGGCCCGCGCGCGCTCGCCCGCGCGGCGGGCGCCCGCCGCCGTCCAGGGGGGCCGCCGGCGCCGCGCCAGCGCCCAGCGCCGTCCAGGCCAACGCGCTGGCGAGCCGCCCCGCCGCCGTCGCGCCCGCCCGGCCGGCCCGCCGCCCCGCGCTTGGGCCGGCGCCCGTCCTGCAGCAGCTGGCGCCCGCGCCCCCGCCGCGGCCTTGCCACCAGCCACCCGCCGCGCGCAGCCCGTCGGTGCCGCCGTGCCCGCCGCTTCCGCAGGGGCGCGCCTGCGCCCCAAAGCCCCGCCGCCGCGGCCGGCGCCCCGCCAGCCTGCTTCCTGGCGCTGGGGGGGGCCCACTGGGGTTCACTCGGCTGCAGACACCATAGTCGGAGCCCCAGCTAGTGTTCCAGGCATCGGACTTGCAGGGGTCAGATTTACACGCGGTTGCCTAGATACTGTGATATGGAAAGGTCAACCGCCTCCTGCCTTCATGGTGACCAGGAAACGGCCCCACTGTCGGCGGAGGTTCAAGTCCATCCAAAGCTACTTCAGCTGCTGGGGCTTCGCGGACAAGCGCCCCGCCCCGCCTGCCACATGGGCGCGCGCAGGCAGGTCAGGAGGAAAGGGGGAGAGAAGACGGAGGGGAAGGAGCAGAAGTTGGAGGAGGAGGAGGAGGAGGAGGAGGAGGAAGAGGGGAGGAGGAGGATGAGGAGGAGGAGGAGGAATAGGAGAAGGAGGCGGAGGAAGATTAGTTGTTTCGTTGGGTGCGGGGTGCTCCTGAGCGATTCTCGTGGCCACGGCTGGGCGCAGCCCGAACAGTTTATAAGGATGGTGGTCTGGGGTACGGTGTTTGGTTTTGAACGAGGGTGGATGGGCAGGAGGAAGAGTAGGAGGAGGAGGAGGAGGAGGAGGAGGAGGAGGAGGCGGAGGTTCACTGAGCGTTGGGGGGGATTTTGTCATGTTTCCGTCTGGCTCTTGAGGCTTCTTGAGGGAAGCCCAGCAGGGATGCAGAGGGGGAGCCTGTTGAGAAAGGGGAGGAGCGGGCGGAGGAAAAGGCGGGGCATCAGGAGAGGGAAGGGAGGGGGGAAGGGCGTGGGACGCTGCTCATCCGCAGCGTCGCGGCCGTGAGGGACCCTGACCTCCAAGCGTAGTGGATAACTCGCGATGGGAGGTTATGGTGAATTCGACCTCCGAGTGCCTTTGTGGGGGCCCTGGGACAGTCAGAAATCAGCTCGGGATGAAAGTCGGCGGCGGCCAAGGGGGGTGTGATGACTAGGGGTGTGTGGATATCATGGCGTGGGCCATGATACTTTCCCAGATTTCATGGCGCCTCTTCTTATTTAATTTCGTCCCCCGCCCCCCCCCCGGGCCGCGCACATGCAGCCGGCCATGAGTTGCGCCCCCCCCCCTTGGACGCCCCCCTCTTGGCCGCCCCCGAGAAAGAACAGTTCCCGGGGACGGGGTCGGGACCTCCGTCGGTCGGTGTAGAAATCAAAAACTCGACGTCGGATGTCTGGGCACCAGCCCTTCCTCGGCTCCTCTCATCACACAGTGCAATCGGTAGCCAGAGAAACCCCGTGCGGGGCACATGGGGATTGTTTTGAAGACCCCGACCCCTCAGGAGCATTCTGGTAAATTCCCTTGTCATGGGACAATGAAATCCTCTCGCTTCAGGGGGTGCACGTCCTGAACGCGTAGAGCACAGGCAATAGGTAGGGTCCAGGGAGTGTTGGGGGAGGCCTCTTGCCTCTTGGGAGCTTCTTGTTGCCTCTTGGGAACGTCTTTGGCCGTCTTTGGGCGCTCTTTGGGCGCCTAGCGCCGGAGGCCGTTTAGGGGGTCCTCTTGGGCCGTCTTGGGGCCCTTTTGGGACCCTTGTGGAGCAGTCTCTGGTTTCTCTAGGGCCATCTTGGGGGCCTCGTTCGCCACCTTGGAGCCCTATTGGACCGCCTTGGGGGGGGGCTTCTTCGGCCGTCCTTGGGCTCGCTTGGAGGTCTCTTGGGCTGCGTTTGGCTGCTCGGAGTCTAACCAGGCGAGAACGTCAAAATCCTGAAACAAGGAACTTCAGGATATTCGCTGATTGCTGTCAGGAGGCCATCTTAAGTGCCTTCTTAGAGCCCTTTTCAGCCTTCTTGGGGGCCTCCTGGGCCTTCCTGGACATCGTCTCGGGATGTCTTGGGACCATCTTGCAACGTTTTGGAGCCGCCTGGGGCTATTTTGATGCCATCTTGGGGATATCTTGAGTGCCGTCTTGATACCATCTTGGGCCGAGCGGGAGCACTTTTGGGGCACCTGGGCCCATGGGAGGCGACCCCCCCTCCCCATCCTCCAAACTGACCAGACCAGCATCCTGGGGGGGGTGGAGCGGGGGTATTTTTTGTTGTCTCTCTCTCTCTCTCTGTTTCTCTTTTTCCCGGAAAGGGCCTGAGCCCAGGGTTCTCTTTTAGTTGGTTTCCCCCCGGTTTTGACGGCTGTAGGGCCGGCGAATTTCTTTTGCGATAAATGACGAGGTCGCGTAGGGCCGGCGAATTAAAAATTGAGGATGTCCCTAGCGAAACGCTTGTTGTTCAGAATTTGTTGAGGATGTCTCGAGCGAAACGCTGGTTTTGCAGAGTTGGGGATGTCTCGAGCGAAACGCTTGGTTTCAGAATTTGTTGAGGATGTCTCGAGCGAAACGCTGGTTTTGCAGAGCCGACCGCGACACGGAAAAGCGCTCCTCGCGCAGGAATTCCGAGGATGTCTCGCGCGTGCCGCGTCCCGCACGCAGGAATTTTGATTTCTTTGGGTTTTGACAGGATTTCTCAAGCGAAACGCTTGTTTTTCATAATTTGTTGAGGATGTCTCGAGCGAAACGCTGGTTTTGCAAAATTGGGGGATGTCTCGAGCGGGGGCCTCGTGGGGGGCCAGAATTCAGAGGATATCTCAGGCGCAATGCTTGTTTTCGTGTCCCGCTCGCAGGAATTCCGAGGATGTCTCGCGCGTGCCGCGTCCCGCGCGTAGGAATTCGGATGATTGTGATAGGATGTCTCGAGCGAAACGCTTGTCCCCAGCACGTTCAGTAGCGCGTCCCCTTGGCACGTCCCGCGTTGCGACCCCATGGCACGTCCCCTGGCACGTCGCCTGGCGCATCCCTTGGGACGTTTCGCGGCGCGTCCTCCTGGCATGTTCCCCTGTCCATTAGCTCTGGGGCAGCTACTATGTGTTCAGGCAGCTCGAGCTTAAGATCCAGATCAGTTCGGTCAGGACTCGGATGCAAAGGAGGACTCGATCCACGACGCTATAGAGCACAATCGCGCCATGGCACATCGCAATTCAGCACGGTGCAGCACAGCACAGCCCTCGGCAGGGTACATCAAGATCGATACACTCAGCATTGCAACTTGGCACGTTCCTTGGCACGTTCCGTGGGGCGTCCCTTGGCGAGTCCCCCTGGCACGTCGCGTGGCGCGTCCCCTGGCACATTCCGTGGCACATCCATTGGCACGTTCCGTAGCGCGTCCCTTTGGCACGTCCTACGGTGCGACCCCATGGCGCGTCCCCTGGCACGTCGCCTGGCGCATCCCTTGGGACGTTTCGCGGCGCGTCCTCCTGGCATGTTCCCCTGTCCATTAGCTCTGGGGCAGCTACTATGTGTTCAGGCAGCTCGAGCTTAAGATCCAGATCAGTTCGGTCAGAACTCGGATGCAAAGGAGGACTCGATCCACGACGCTATAGAGCGCAGTCGCGCCATGGCACATCGCAATTCAGCACGGCGCAGCACAGCACAGCCCTTGGCAGGGTACATCAAGATCGATACACTCAGCATTGCATTTGCCCGTCACCCAATCAGGTGTCTTTGAAAACGCTGCCATGTGTTACAGTTCTATATTCCTTTCCGGGTTCGTGGGTCGATCATGTTTTTGTTCTCTCTCTCTCTCTCTTTCTCTCTTCCTCTCACACACCGAGGAGCCCCAAGGAGTTGGCGAATTTCCACGTCTTCCCCGTTTTGGGCACCACGAGGATCTGAGCCACACCTCGATGGCAATCACATGGCCGGTGCACGCCAGCCAGCCTTCGCAGCTCCCTGGCCTGCATCGCCCGCCGTCCCCGCATCCTTCCGCGAGGCGTGAAGAAGCGCCCACGCGAGAGAGGTGGGGCGCGGTCCCGAAGTAGCTGCAGCGGTAGGTTGGCGCGCGTCGTCCACTGATCGCCCATGCTGGGCCGTCAATGTGTGTGAAGGCCGCACGTACCATCATTACATCCCTGTCTGCTGCTGCCGTCTCGGTTCAGGTACTGGTAATAGGTACAGAGCCGCCTGTGCGCGGCCCACAGGAAAAAAGGGATCGCCACCCTCTCCTTGAACTTCCTCTACCTACGGGAAACTTAGTAGGTTCGACTCTTCTGTCGTGTGTGCATACACAGCCAAGATCCTGGTGGCATCTCCCTGGGGAACGGCCGAGGTTTGTGAGGCATACCGAAATGGATCAGCGGCATGGATGGAGATGCGCGGGGATCGCGCCGAGCCCTCACGGGCTCACCGATCTCCGTCGATGGCCAATATCGGTGCGCACGTGACTTTGCCACATTCCTATCGGAAGAACCATCTTGTTGACGACTTCCTAACCCCATCCCAAAATACCAAGACAGTGGCGTCGCTGATCCATTTCTTCAAAAGAGCGTGCAGGGCAGAGAAGAAGAATAGGAGAGCCCCAGCTTCGAGGGACCCTTTCCCCTTGGAAAAAAGGGGGGGTGTCCGAAGCTCCCCCCTCCCCCCTCCTGTCTGCATTGTTACGCTTTGGGGACTTTAGCGGAAAGTGGGGGGGGGCTTGGTCACCCCCCTCCCCCCAGCCGGGGCCCGGGGTGAAGCTCGTGGAACGATTTGGGCGAAGGGGGAGCGATATAAATGGGGGGAGTGACAAAACCTGCCGCGTCCAGCCAGTTTCGGCCTCGCCGCCAAGCGCTTTCTTGTATGAATGTTGCGCTGTGGGCGCCGAGTGGCACCAGAAAATAAGCTACATGAGCTGATTCGGCACCCGGCCTGGGGGCCAGGTGAGGGCATTCAGAGCGATGGTTGCAACATATTGCCACCATGTTTTTGTTATGGCGGCGCGAGGAGGTCAAGGGGAGGAAAAGGGAGGGAGTAACGGGAGGGATTTGCATCCTTCCCGTTTTTTTCGGCGGCGAAATCAGAACCCGACCTTCGCCGATCAACCATTCAGGCACCTCGATGGGCGGCGGGAGTAGGTTCCGGAATTCGTCGAACACTTGTCGGAATCCGAACCTATCCTCGCCTCGCCTTGATCCCGCAAGGTAGGGGTCGGGTTCGGATGTCGCCACCTGAGGTCACGGGGGAGGGGGGGGAAGGGAGGAACGCGAGGGGGTTGGCTCCTCCCTCTCCTCTTCCTCCGGACTGCCGAGCCCCTCCACCTCCTCCTCCTCCCCCTCCTCCTCCTCCTCCTCGTCCGCCTCCTCCTCCTCCTCCTCCTCCTCCATCCTCCTGCTCCTCCTCCTCCCCCTCCTCCTCCCCTCCTCATACCTCCTCCTCCTCCTCCTCCCTCTCCTCCTCCTTCTGGCTCCCAGCCTCCACCTCCTCCTCCTCCTCCTCCTCCTCCTACTCCTCCTCCTCTTCCTCCTCCCCGTCCTCCTCCTTCTCCCCCCTCTTCCCTGGATACCTCCTCATCATCACATCCTCCTCTCCTCCTCCCCCCCCCTCCTCCTACTCCTCCTCCTCCTCCTCTCCTCCTCATCCCCTCCTCCTCTCCTCCTCCTCCCTCCTCCTCCTCTTTCCTCCTCCCCCTCCTCCCCCTCCTCCCCCCTCCTCCCCCTCCTCCTCCTCCTCCCTGCCCTCCTCCTCTCTTCCTCTCGAGCTCGAAGGAGGGAGGGGCGGCCTCAGGCGGGGGGGTGCGCCGGAGGTACGGCCACGGACCAGCCGACCCGCGAGGATCCTGGGAAGACGGCGCGCCAGAGTTTCTTCTCTGCTGTCAGCAGGAGGAGGAGGAGGAGGAGGAGGAGGAGGAGGAGGAGGAGGAGGAGGAGTAGGAGGAGTGGGAGGGGGAGGGGGAGGAGGAGGAGGAGGAGAATAAATAAAATAGAAAAAGAAAAAAGGAAAAATAAGAAAGAGGGGGAGGAGGAGGAGGAGGAGGAGGAGGAGGAGGCTCCAGCGGGCCCTGGACCCCGGGCTTCCTCCCGAGCCGCCCCCCCGACGGCCCGCGAACCCGAGGGGGGTGGCCTCGCGCGGGCCGCAGCGCGGCGGGCAGCTCCCCCAGACATCCGCCGATCGGTTTTTGTTTCCATCCGCGGCCCCAGGCCTCATGGCGCTAACATCGCAGAGCGGATTTCGTTCGAGTTATGCTAACGGAGTTCCCCACATAAAGAGATTAACGGTTTCGTGGGACCCATTTTCTTGATGCCCTCCTCGCTTTGGCGTGGCCCCGCTGGAAGGGGGGAGGGCTACGAAACCTGGCGAAGAGTAATGCTTTCCGCGACCCTCCTCGTTCAAGCGCGGCCTCTCTGGAGGAGTGGAGGAGGGGCACGAAACCGTGTAAAGAGTATGGTTTTCCGATACCCTCCTCGCTCAGGCGGGGCCTCCCTGGAGGGGTGGGAGGGGCACGAAACCATGTAAATAGTATGGTTTTCCGATACCCTCCTCGCTCAGGCGGGGCCTCCCTGGAGGGGTGGGAGGGGCACGAAACCATGTAAATAGTATGGTATTCCGATACCCTCCTCGCTCAGGCGGGGCCTCCCTGGAGGGGTGGGAGGGGCACGAAACCATGTAAATAGTATGGTATTCCGATACCCTCCTCGCTCAGGCGGGGCCTCCCTGGAGGGGTGGGAGGGGCACGAAACCATGTAAATAGTATGGTATTCCGATACCCTCCTCGCTCAGGCGGGGCCTCCCTGGAGGGGTGGGAGGGGCACGAAACCATGTAAATAGTATGGTATTCCGATACCCTCCTCGCTCAGGCGGGGCCTCCCTGGAGGGGTGGGAGGGGCACGAAACCATGTAAGTAGTATGGTATTCCGATACCCTCCTCGCTCAGGCGGGGCCTCCCTGGAAGTGTGGGAGGGGCACGAAACCATGTAAATAGTATGGTATTCCGATACCCTCCTCGCTCAGGCGGGGCCTCCCTGGAGGGGTGGGAGGGGCACGAAACCATGTAAATAGTATGGTATTCCGATACCCTCCTCGCTCAGGCGGGGCCTCCCTGGAGGGGTGGGAGGGGCACGAAACCATGTAAATAGTATGGTATTCCGATACCCTCCTCGCTCAGGCGGGGCCTCCCTGGAGGGGTGGGAGGGGCACGAAACCATGTAAATAGTATGGTATTCCGATACCCTCCTCGCTCAGGCGGGGCCTCCCTGGAGGGGTGGGAGGGGCACGAAACCATGTAAATAGTATGGTTTTCCGATACCCTCCTCGCTCAGGCGGGGCCTCCCTGGAGGGGTGGGAGGGGCACGAAACCATGTAAATAGTATGGTTTTCGGATACCCTCCTCGCTCAGGCGGGGCCTCCCTGGAGAGGTGGGAGGGGCACGAAACAATGTAAATAGTATGGTTTTCGGATACCCTCCTCGCTCAGGCGGGGCCTCCCTGGAGGTGTGGGAGGGGCACGAAACCATGTAAATAGTATGGTTGTCGGATACCCTCCTCGCTCAGGCGGGGCCTCCCTGGAAGGGTGGGAGGGGCACGAAACCATGTAAATAGCATGGGTTTCCGATACCCTCCTCGTAGGTATGGTATGGTACGGTATGGTATGGTATGGTATGGTATGTGTGGTAGGAGCTATGGTATGGTATGGTGTGTGTGGTAAGAATTATATTGTGCTGTATGGAAGATGGAGCGGGAGGTGGGTGGGAAGGAGAGGGTGTTCTGGGAAAATTATGCTAACGGAGTTCCCCACATACAGAGATTAACGGTTTCGTGGGACCCATCCTTGTGTGCAGGGGTGGGAGGGGCACAAAACCATGTAAATAGTATGGTTTTCGGATACCCTCCTCGCTCAGGCGGGGCCTCCCTGGAGAGGTGGGAGGGGCACGAAACCACGTAATTAGTATGGTTTTCGGATACCCTCCTCGCTCAGGCGGGGCCTCCCTGGAGGTGTGGGAGGGGCACGAAACCATGTAAATAGTATGGTTTTCGCGGATATTCCAGAGACCCGGTTGGGGCTCGGCTCAGTGCGGGTCTCCAGGAAGGTGGGAGGGGCACGAAACCATGAAATAGTATGGTATTCCGATACCCTCCTCGCTCAGGCGGGGCCTCCCTGGAGGGTGGGAGGGGCACGAAACCATGTAAATAGTATGGTATTCCGATACCCTCCTCGCTCAGGCGGGGCCTCCCTGGAGGGGTGGGAGGGGCACGAAACCATGTAAATAGTATGGTATTCCGATACCCTCCTCGCTCAGGCGGGGCCTCCCTGGAGGGGTGGGAGGGGCACGAAACCATGTAAATAGTATGGTATTCCGATACCCTCCTCGCTCAGGCGGGGCCTCCCTGGAGGTGTGGGAGGGGCACGAAACCATGTAAATAGTATGGTATTCCGATACCCTCCTCGCTCAGGCGGGGCCTCCCTGGAGGGGTGGGAGGGGCACGAAACCATGTAAATAGTATGGTATTCCGATACCCTCCTCGCTCAGGCGGGGCCTCCCTGGAGGGGTGGGAGGGGCACGAAACCATGTAATTAGTATGGTATTCCGATACCCTCCTCGCTCAGGCGGGGCCTCCCTGCAGGAGTGGTATGGAATGGTATGGTAGGTATGGTATGGTACGGTATGGTATGATATGGTATGGTATGGTACTGGAGGTATGGTATGGTATGGTACGGTGTGGCATTGGTGTGATATGGTATGGTATGCTATGGTACGCCATGGTATGGTATGGTACGGTATGGTACGTATGGTGTGGTATGGTATGGTATGGTATGGTATGGTATGTGTGGTAGGAACTATGGTATGGTATGGTGTGTGTGGTAGGAATAATATTGTGCTGTATGGAAGATGGAGCGGGAGGTGGGTGGGAAGGAGAGGGTGTTCTGGGAAAACAAGAATCCCACTCAGGATGTGGGGAACAAGAACCCCACTCAGGATGTGGGGAAAAACAATGGGATGAGCCTGGACTGTCCTGGAGAGTTTCGCTCCGGATTTCGGAATATATTTCGTGCGGATTTTTCTCGGCCTGGAATAACAATTACAAGCAATACACGTGGAAATCACTTCGTTTTTCGCTCGCCCTTTCAGGGCTTTGACTTGACCGAAATCCACGGACAAATCCGCTGCAGCACGTCTGCAAGTCGGTGCACTGACCAGTGGGAGGATCTGGGAGAGCGTTTTTTATTCAAGACGTTTCGCGGTCACCGCCCGCCCATTCCAGGTCTCGCCGGACGAGGCGAAGACGGCTCCAAGACGGGATAAACATAGCCGAACGTAATTTTAGACCCAGATGCGAAGATGTCGCCAAGACGGGATGATTACATCCCGACAATGGTGATTCATTCCCGCACAGGTGTATTTTGTATTTTGTCATGCGTTCAATTCCTCCTCCATCCCATCGTCGGCAGGACTCAGGTATGCCGTGTGGCTGACCGATGTTCTATGTGTCGATTTGTCGTCGGCCGTGCTATCATTACCAACGGATCAGTGATATGGACGCTGGCCATCTTGACCTTCGCTCCGTATCCACAGCAGGAGGCCAGAGATAGCCAGAACGCTGCGCAAGACCAGCCAAAGACGCCCCGCAAACGGCCCCCAAAGGCGCCAACAAGGGCCGAAAAGGGCCCGGAGAAGGGCCCAAACGGGGCCCAAGACGGGCCCGAAGCGGCGAGGCGGGCTTGTGGACGACCTAAGCGCGAGCATCCCCGCATTGGACCGCAGCCCCGTCCGTCTTCCGGTAAAACCTGGCCCGTTCTGGGCCGTTTGGGGCATCTTGGGGGCTCCTGGGGGCTTCTTAGGGCCGAGGGCTCGAAGTGCTGTTCCATGCTCCCCCCCTGGGACCTCTCTTGGGGCCTTCTTGGGCCGTCTTGGAGGCCTCTTGGGCCGTCTTGGGGCCTTCTTGGGGGCCTCTTGGGCCCTCTTGAGGGCCCCTTAGGCCCTCTTGGGTCGGTCTTGGCGGCCTCTTGGGCCACATTGGGGTGTTGGGAAGCCGAAAAAGTGGAAACGCCAAAATCGCTCCAAAACCTAAGGAAAAATAATGAATGTTGCCTCTTGGGGCCCTCTTGAGAGTGCTCTTGGAGGCCTCTTGGGCCGTCTGGGGGCCTTCTTGGGCGTCTTGGAGCGATCTTGTGGCATCTCGGAGCTCTCTTGTATCATCTTGAGGGGCTCTTGGCGGCCTCTTGGCCTTTCTTGGAGCTCTCTGGACGGCCTCCAGGGCGGCGCCCAGGAGGAAAGCCTCTGGCGCCCAGGGCGGCGCCCAGGGCGGCGCCCAGGGCGGCGCCCAGGGCGGCGCCCAGGGCGGCGCCCAGGAGATCTTAGCACGCCTCTGGCCCGTTGGGCCGGCGAATTTCCAGGCGATAGCGGGCGTCATAGGGGGGCCAGTAAAACGCCACGTGTCGCGACGGCGCCGTCTGGGAAGGCTTAGGGATAACCAAGAACCAAAATCAATCCGGAGGTTTGCACTGATCTTGACGTTACCCCAGGGGGGGGAGGCAGGGGGGCGGCGGGGGCCAGTAGCAGCCGCTATCTTCCCCCCAAATACGCTCCCTTTGCATCCCACGTTGGGTCCGAGCAATCAAATCGGATCGGAGGATCGCGCCACATCGCCGATGCGGTTCGATGTGGAACCCGATTTTCCGAACAGCGCCGATGCATTGCTGACGTCGTCGATGCGGCGCGATCCTCTGACCCCGTCTCCTCGGACCCCATGTATGAGGCCTCTATGGGAGGAAGAGGGGGCCCCGAAAAGTCATGACGGATAGGTTTTACAGAAACCATTCGGGATGAAATGTTGGTTTTCGGGGAGGGGTCCAGACCTCCTTGGGAGGTCACACGAGAATTCGCGACGTCGAGTGCCTGAGGAGGGTGGGGGATGAGAGGGTTGGGGGCTGGTGGAAGCGAGGCGGTGACAGAGTGTGATTCCGACAGGAAGTAGCTAGTTCGTGCCCCGATATTTATTGAGATGGCATCAAGTATGTTGTGGTTGTCTGTTGGTTGCAGGACTGAGGAGTGGCAGCTGAGGGACTTTGGACTACAAGGATTGCCGCGTAGGAAGAACGGCTAACATAAGCAAGATTCCTGGAGGGCTATCTTAGCTATTTGGAGACAGTAAGCTGTTTCATTCGGCGCTGGAAAAAGGGTAGACAAAGGCATGGTCGGCGTTAATCTATACGCGCGAATAGCAAGTCGTGCGCGCTAAGACCGTGAACGGACAGACAGATATTTGCCTTGCGTTTGACAGCGCGTGAGCAGGGTGAAACAGACCGCTGCGACGTCGAACGGCGGGGCCACCCGGCAGAGTTCGGACGCCAGGGTCCCACCTCCGATTCCCACGCAGCCTGCTGGGCCGAACAGTGCGCATAAGGCCCCGCCGGAGCCAGCAGTGATGGGCCTGCTTTCCACCACCACCACCATCAGCTGGAGGGAGGAAGGAGGTGGAGAAAGAGGAAGAGGAGGAGGAGGAGGAGGAGGAGGAGGAGGAGGAGGAGGAGGAGGAGGAGAAGGAGGGAGGAGGAGGAGGAGGAGGAGGAGGAGGAGGAGGACTCCCTCCCCCTCCTGCTTTTGGCGGTGGCGGTGGAAAACAAGCCCACCAAGCAGGTCCTGAGCCTCAGCGCCGCACCCGCGCCCGCCGCCGGAGCAGCTCGGAGGGCGCCAACTGCACGCTGGCAGCGATCCTAGGCAGGCCGACCCTGGGCCAGGGATCTGTTCGGACGCCCTCCCGGCTTCGGCTGGGAAGCTACCAGTCGGGGGTGGACAGAACCCCCAGCCCTGACACGTCGATTAGTGAATTGTCGAATCAAAAAACTGTTTTCGGTTCTCGAGAGGGCGCCGCGGCCATCATTTTCGAGGCTTGCGCCCGCCAGGTTTGGGCCCGAGGTCGTTTTCACTGAGCCACGCTTACTAAAGGGGGCTCTGTCCATCCCCGCACCAAGAGGCCACCAACACTTTGCCAAAGGTCTGAAGGCACTGGCGACCAGTGTATGCGTCAGTGGAGACAGAGGCCCCGCACGATCCACAGTTGGAATCCTGGATTCTACAGCGTTTCAAGTTGAGCCCGCGTCTACCGAGACATGGGTTGACCCTGGGCCAAGGGTCAATGCAGACGCACTCCCGGCCTTGGCCGGGGAAGGCATTTGCCCAGACATCCGTTGCCTTGCCCTGTTCCGTACAGGGCCCCCCGGAAGTCCCGGCCCTGTCCCCGCGGCCAGCTTCCCGTCCCGTGCCGTCTTCGGACAGCCGGGGGCCAGAAAGCTGCCCCCGCGAGCCGAACACGGCGAGGAAACCGCCTCGATGTTGCTCAAGACGCTGGATGTCTGGGCTCGGGGGTCCCACATCGACCCCCGGAGCTCTCCTGGTGTGCGCTCAGGCCAGAGTTTCGAGACGCATCCAGCCGTAGCCACGAGGAACTTCCGGGAGAGCCGCCTCTCAGAGACTTCCAGTCAGGCGAGAAACATGGGAAAATCTCCGCCGTCGGCGCCAGGACGACGCCTTCAGCGACGACGACGACGCCGCCGGCGACGACGCCTTCGACGACGACGACGGCGCCGATGACGACGACGACGACGACGACGGCGCCGACGACGACGGCGACGACCACGGCGCCGACGAACACGACGACGACGACGACGACGACGACGACGACGACGACGACGACGACGACGACAGCGATGACGGCGACGACGGCGCCGACGACGACGGCGCCGACGACGACGACGAATACGACGATGTCGGTGGCGGCTCCGACGACGATGACCACGACGACGACGAATATCATGACGGCGGTGGCGGCGCCGACGCCGACGGCACCGACGACGACGACGGCGCCGACGGCGCCGCCGTTGCCGACGACGACGACGGCGACGGCGACGACGACGACGACGGCGCCAACGGCGACGACGGCGCCGACGACGACGACGATGACGACGACGACGACGGCGCCGACGACACGACGAAGACGACGACGCGCCGCCGCCGCCGCCCGCCGCCGCCGCCGCCGACGACGACGACGACGACGACGACGTCGGCGGCGACGACGACGTCGCCGACGACGGACGACGACCACGACGACGACGAAGAATACGACGACGGCGACGGCGACGGCTACGGCGACGACGACGGCGACGGCGACGACGGCGCCGACGGCGGCGACGGCGCCGACGACGACGGCAGCGCCGACGACGGCGCCGACGACGACGACGACGACTCCGCCGCCGCCGACGACGACGACGGCGACGAGCGACGACGGCGCCGTCGACGACGGCGGCGCCGACGACGACGCTGGCGCCGCCGACGGCGACTACGACGTGTGGGTAATTTTACACCGACCCTGGTCCCTAGGTGGGCCTGGCCAGGATCGTGTCACGCGCAGACGTGGCGCTCTCCCACAAGCAACCGCGGCGGGGCCCGCCTCCTCGTGCCCACAAGCTCCCGCGGCGGAGGCGACGGCCGCATGGGCGTCTACTACCTGTCGCGGGACCAGGAGCTCAAGGGCTGACCGGCTGCCTGGCAGAGTCCAGGCTGCCCAGACTCGGGAGCCTTGAGACTTTCAGACGGGGGTCAATGCAAACGGGGGTCAGCCAGAGCGCCAGATCTTGCAGGATCTGGCAAAGCCCAACTGACTCGTGTGTGGATTGACCCGGGCATGCAGATCCCCGACAGACAGGGAGGGAGAGTCGAGGATCACGAAGAAGAAAGAAAGGCGTAAGCAAACGTTCGACGTTCCGCGTGGATTTCTCGGATTTGCGATGGGCCCTTCTGGCGGCGCCTCCGGCGCTGCCCCTGGCGCACGGAGCGCGCCAGGAAGGGCTGTACGGCGCAGATCCAAGAAGTATCCGCGCGGACTGCCGACAGTTCATGTTTATACCACTTCCTCTGCGATCGAGGGTTTCAGGACTCATTTCGATTCCTCCGATACGATTCGATTCCATTTCAGTGGCTCCCGATTCCGATTCGATTCGACGTCGTATTCCGATTTGGGCTCCGATTTCTCATTTGAGGCCTACTAGCCTGCCGATTCCCAGCGATTCGACTTTTCCCCACGGCTGCCGATTCCCGCCGATCCGATCCATTCCGATCGCCGATCCGACTCGTCGATTTGATTCTGGGCTCTCCTGGGGTTTGGATTACAGCATTCATGGTCTTCAACGTTTTGGACCATTAGTGGGGCATCGTTGGGCAGAGCGCGCCCACGGATGGTCCAGGGGTCGATTTTCGACCCTTGGGCCCAGACCTGGCGGATTGCTTGTTCCTACCCTGGCGTTTTTCCTTCATTTTGATTCCTTGGGGCCGTTTCCAGGCCTTAGGACAATCAGCAATTGTTCCAGGCCGAAATCGAACAAATGTTCGCCAGAGTGGACCGCAAACAGTAAGTTATTGATATGTGACCTTCGGCCAATCCCGTCACCATGCCTGGGTTGTGGGTCAGAGTTCTCAGGGATGCTTCTTGGGATCTCTTCGGAGCGCTCTCGGGGGCCTCGTGGGGGCAGTTTTACTGCCTCTTGGGAGGAGGGTCTGTTGGGGCCTCCTTGGGGCCCCTCTGGGGCCGAGAGCTCGAATTGTCCGTTCGGGCCCCCCATCTGGGCCTTCTCCTGGAGCCGTCTTTGGGGCTTCGTGGGCCGTCTTGGGCGCCTCTTGGGCCGTCTTCGGGTCCTCTGGGTCGTTTCGGGGCCCTCTTGGACAGTCTTCGGGGCCTCTTAGAGCCCTCTTGACCCGTCTTGGGGCCCACGTGGGCCCGAAAAAGATGATGCGGGAAGCCGTGGAGGGACCAGGAGGGCACGCGACAAGCCCTGGTAGATTTCGGAACTTGGGGTCTGGGCCTTCTTAAACCCTCAGGAACGAAGACTGAGGCTCAGGGGATTGGGCAAAGGACCTGAGGACACGTCCACTCCGTGCCCAGCGTAACGGCGGCGGATGTGGTGCAAGCCATGTGGTGTAAGCTACGTGTTGCAGCACATGTGGCACAAGCTTGAGGTGGCAATAAGGCGGCAACGAGCGGCAACGTGGCGAAACCTCGCCAGACCCACCCAGCGCACGAGGCGGCAACGAGACGGCAGCGGGCGGCTACGTGGCGAGACTTCGCTGGGCCACCCCTGCGGGCGAGACGACAGCGAGGCGGCAACGTGGCGGAACCTCGCCAGAACCACCCAGCAGTTGAGGCGGCCACGAGGCGGCAGCCGGCGGCAGCGGGCAGCAACGTGACGAATTCTCCCTGGATCCACCCAGCGCACGAGGCGGCAACGAGGCGGCAGTGAGGCGGCTAGGGTCGGCAATGTGGCGAAGCTTCGCTGGACCCGCCCAGCGCACGAGGCGGCAACGGTGTGGCAACAGGCCAAAACCTTGCCATGGTGTTCGGGTATATCCAGGACCCCAGGTAAGGGGACCCCGTTAGTGGTAGGGCCCCGGAGCCCTTGAAATGGCCAGAATCACTAAACCAGGTCTGCCGCAGCTGGTGTTTTTTCGGCTGAAGGCAGTTCCGGTTAGTGGAACGGGGCAGGGGGGCGTCCCCCAGTACACATCACTTAACTAGGTTCCTCTAAACCCAGTTCTGCCAACGCCCGAACTGTACCCATCCAATTCCTCAGCAACCGAAGGCAGAATCCCTAAGTGCAAGCACTGGTTGGGGAACTATCGACGGAGAAGGGGTCGGGAGATTTGGGGCCGCGGGTGGAAAATGTCACGTCGCTGTGTTTCTGGGAACATCCGAGGCGGCCTTGGTTTGGCTTTGGGACGCTGGAAATGCGCGCCTGGGCAGTCGAACACGACTCCAGATGAGAAAATCGGAGGTCCCAAATCGGTGCAGTGACCACACCGTCGGGTGCGTCAGAGGGGATTCTGTGTGAGCGCACCTGCTGTGGGGACTTGAGTCGACCTCCGAGGATGCCCCATGGCGACTTGGGGCCTTCGAGGTCCGAGCGTTAAGTCGGGCCTGTCCCCCTACAGGGGGACTTTCGACGAGCAATAAAAGATGTCTTAAAAATAGTCCGAAAATGGTCTGGGGATTATTTTTGGAGTATGTCTCGACCTTTTTGGGGTATTTTTATTTCTGATGTTTCGTCCAAAATCCCCCTGCAGGGGGACACGCCCGACTTGATCCCAGCTTCGCGCAGTGACGATCCGTGCCGGTTAGGTCTTCCTAGAGCTCTCTCGAGGGCACCGCACGGTCCGCCGAGGGCGCGCCCTCGAGGGCGCGAAGTTCGTCGCGCGTCGCGCTCCGCGCTGCGGCTCCGACTCCTCCTCGTCCTCCCCCTCCCTCCCCAGGGGGGGCGGAGAGGAGCAGGGGGGGGCAAAGAAGTTCAACAAGGAACTCAACAAGGAGCAGGGGGGGCGGAGAGGAGAGGCGGCGCGGGAGCGCGAAGTCGTTCGCGCTCCGCGAGAGCGCGAAAGCGCGAGAGCGCGAATGACTGGGAGCCCCTGGCCTGCCAGCCGCGCCGTTTTTGTTGGCGGGGCCAGGGGCGGCCACGGCCCCCCGCGGGAGGGGCGTGGGCAGCGCCGGGGGGCCCGCGCTGCGCAGGAGGCGGGTGGCGCCCGCGGGGGAGGGCCCGGCGCACAAAACGTGATCCAGGCGAGTTTGGTTCAGGCGGGGGAAAAAAGAACACAGACACAATGAAGCGTCGACTCCCCAGAAAATATGGGAGAATATGGGAAGTGGGGGGAAGGACGAACACCCCAAAAATAGGGGAAGTTGGGGGAATACAGGCGAGTTGAAACAGTACCGGGTATGGCCAGGACCCCAGGGCGAGGGGGGCGTCCCAAGTACAATCACTAAACCAGGTCCCACTAAACCCAGTTCTGCCAACGCCCGATACAGGCGAGTTTTTGAATCGTAATTCGACCCTGCCCAAACAAGGGTACCCTTGTGTCCTGTGTTTCGCGACCCATGCCCTCTACGTTGCAATATTGCCATCGGAAGGGTCTTGTGTCCTCTCGCGTGTCCGCTCCAATCCACCCCGACTGAAGAGGATGGCTCGACTCAGGCGATGGCAAACATGAATCAAGGGGGTGTGGGTTAGCGACGGGTCCCTTTTCCATGGGAAATCGCGGATTTCCGCCGCCGAGCGAGGCGGCACCGACCGCATTTGGGGGAGGGCACCTACCCCGATGCATGTTTGCGCGCCCCCGATCGACACGTCGCCCGTGCCCGTCTGGCCCAGGCCTGCGGAGTGGGGCCAGGGCAGATCCAGGCATCCAGCGCCCTGCTAGAATGCGGTTGGAGATCTCTCGCCGTTTTCGGGCTCTGGGGGTGTCGGAAAACGATTTTGGTTAAAAACCGGGCCATGGAAAAAAGGTGGGGATTTCAGGAACCTTGTATCCAGACATCGGATACTTGGTGACAAGGTCGGAGAATCACACCCGATCGCCGACGCATCGGCGTCGTGGTGCAACCTGTGGTCCTACATTCTCCATCCCGTCATCGTCGATGCATCGGCGACGTGGTGCGACCTACTCTAGCCCCTCAGAAATATCGGACATCAGTAAACTACAGAAACTATGCACCTCCGTTCGGAGGTCCGCGCGGACTCCTTGGGTCGACGCTGGACCCCTCTCCCTTGGCGTGCGAAGCGAGAGGTAGCACCATGGGGTGTCCAGCGCCGTTCTCCGATATCCGCGTGGACTTCCGAAAGGTTGCGTTTGTGTAGTGCTCCGTGTTTCTGCATCAAACGGGCCACCGTTGGAGTTCTGCCAGCCGCGACTGCTGCGCGCTGCACTTGAATTTGCGAATTCGAACCACGCCCGACAGCAAACGACCCGTCGCCCTCTTAATTATGGGCGAGCGCGGCCATGGCGGCGGCGCGTTCTTTGCGGCTTGGCTGTCCGCATGGCCGACAGCGCCTGCGGAGTTTGTCGGTCTTTCCGTCTCTCCTCTGGCACGGGCGCTCTCCCAAGACACCCAGCGCCTTGAGACGAGTTAAGTCAGGTTTACTGTAGCTTTCGGCCGCTCGGGGGCCTCACGCGCCCTGGGAATGACAAAAGAACCGGCTCAAGGTGAAGAGCATGCCCGAGGGGAAGCGTCGGGACTTCAGGGACCCTGTCTGATGAAGTCAAGACATCGGATTTTACCGGGTTGCCGCTGGGTGGCATCGGGGGCGCCCGAGGTTTGGGGCGACGTGGGCGACGCCGGGGGCTGGGGGGCGAGGGCGAGTGGACGGGAGGGTGCTTTCCGTCGGGATGGTGCGTTGTCCGTCGAGATGATGCATGTTTCGGGACGTTGTATTTTCCATCGGGACTGTGCATTATGTGTTTTGAGTTGAATGGGGTCAAGTTGTTTTCTGTGACGGACTGCAGTGGCTCCCCCCCACGTACCTTCTCTTATCAGTGCGGATTTCAATCTATCACCAGGGAACCTCATTCTTCCTCGTGATGAGTTATTTGCCCCACAGTGCTAGAATTCGCAATCAAAGTACTGTGATGTTCTACTGCGGTCCAGGTTCAGCATCTTACTAGCCGCATAATCGCCAGCACGCGCCATGGTACCGTAAGGTGTATCACCTGTTTGTGCTTTTGTTCCAGAAGGTCCCGGCAGATCCTTTTCCACGTCAGGGGGCGCAAGCACGCATCCGTCAGAAAGAGCAGCATGAATTGGCACTTATCATCCCATGTCCTGGCCTTGGTAATAGGGCAGAGCGATGTTCGTATGGAGCTGTCCGTAATGAGGCGTTCAGGGAGATGTTCCAGAATGTCGCTCATGGCCGAGGGCGCTTGGGCATGAGTGATGCAACCCTGTTCCAGCAAGGCGGTATGGGCCAGACATGGATACTTTGCGTACGCCCCTCCTGGTCCTTCATCCATCACGCCATAGTTTGCCTTATCGATGTACGCTAAGGTTCGCCATAGTTCGTCCCGTAGGTGCCCCATATGCCATAAGCACCCCATGCGTTGCGCCGCGGGTTTCGTCACGGGTTGCGCTATACCTTGCGCTATATGCGCCATTGGTTTCATCATTGGCAGCGTCATGAATCACTGGTTGCATTGTGGGTTGCGCCATGGAGCATGCCGCAGAGTGCGCCATGGATGCGCCATATTCCCTCACGCGATGGAACCCACTATCAGAGGTTGAACCGCTCAAAGAAACAGGTCGCAAATCACAGTGCATCATCGGATTGGTGCGTTCTCTGCCGGGATGATGCTGTGGCGGGGATTTATTAGTTGTTCAGAGGCTTAGAAGCCAAACAAAGCCAAGCGCCCCGCCCAGCCAAACCCTCCTTGAGCGCTCTTGACGAGGCGCAGCTGCAGGGAAAAGTTCCCAAGGCTGCAGAGCCTCCTCCGAGAACCGACGAAAGCCTCCCAAGACCTCCGAGGTCGGAGGAGGAGGAAGAGGAGGAGGAGGAGGAGGAGGGGGAGGAGGAGAGGGAGGGGCATGAGGATGAGGACCAGGAGGGGGATGAGGACCAGGAGAGGAGGAGGAGGAGGAGGAGGAGGAGGAGGAGGAGGAGGAGGAGGAGGAGGAGGAGGAGGAGGAGGAGGAGGAGGAGAGCCAGCTCCCGGCGTCGCCCCGTCGGCCACGCCTCGCCCCCAGACGCCCGCCGCCCGCCCGTCCAGCGGACCGCGCGCGCCAGAGCGGGCCGCCGGGCCTGGCCGGAAGAGGGGCCCGGCAGCTGCCTGGCGTGCGCGGGGCGGTGCCTTGCTCGCGGCGCGCAGGGAGGAAACAGCGGCGCGAGCGGGAGCACAGAGGTCCCAGGCCGGGACGACCGTCACGGGTACGGAAAGAATGGGCACAAAGACCGACAGCAGGTCTTGTTCGTTTTGAGCAGGATTCGCTGTCGGCGTCGCCGCGGATTGTGTCCATTTGAGACAGAAGGCCGCCTGCCAAACAGCGGCCGCTGTTGATTCGGGACAACATTTGCTGTTGGGCATTGTGCCCATTCTTTCCGTACCCATTTCGGGCGTCCAAAAATCAGGACGAGGGATGTGTCTCGTTTTGGGCCTATAACAAGGGGCCCTCGTTTGGCTCTTGCAGAGAACCAGTCAACAGGCCGAGAGAAAGACCGGGCTCGCGGAGAGGGTCGGGCCTTCGGGGGCCGCGCATCGAACAAGATCTGGACGTCGCATGTCTGGAGAGCCTCCTCCGAAGACAGAGACGTCTTCGCAGATAGGGCTTCAGAGAAGCCCCCGCCGCCTTCTGAGAACCGCCCGCCCCCTCCGCCTCCTCCTCCTCCTCCTCCTCCTCCTCCTCCTCCTCCTCTTCTCCTCCTCCTCCTCCGCCTTCCCCTCCCCCTCCTCCTCCTCCTCCTCCTCCTCCTCCTCCTCCTCCTCCTCTTCCTCCTCCTCCTCCTCCTCCTCCT